CTCCCGCCCGCCCGCCGTCGCGCTGTGGCCACGGCTCGGGCCGGAGTCGGGGAAGGCCAGGTAGCCCAGGAGCCTCGCGGCAATGGGCGCGCGGGGGCGGCCCTCGAGCAGGCTGGCCCCTGCCCCTCCTCCCCCCCAAACTTCAAGGGGGCAGGAGGAGGAGGAGGAGGAGGAGGAGAAGGAGGAGGGGGAGGAGGAAGAGGAGGAGGAAGAGGAGGAGGAAGAGGAGGAGGAGGAGGAGGAGGAGGAGGAGGAAGGAGGAGGAGGGGAAGAGGAGGAAGAGGAGGAGGAGAAGAAGAGGACAGGCAGGAGGAGGAAGAGGAGGAGAGGAACGAGGAAGAGGAAGAGGAGGAGGAGGAGGAGAGGAGGAGGAGGAGAGGAGGAGTGAGAGGAGGAGGAGGAGGAGGGAGGAGGAGGGGAGGAGGAGGAGGAGAAGGAGGAGGAAGAGTAAGGAGGAGAAGGAGGAAGAGGGAGGAGAAGAGGGAAAAGAGGAGGAGTAGGAAGAGGAGAAGAGAGGAGGATGAGATGAGGATGAGGGAGGAGGAGGAGGAGGAGGAGGAGGAGGAGGAGGAGGAGGAGGAGGAGGAGGAGGAGGAGAAGGAGGAGGAGGAGGAGGAAGAGAGGAGGAGAGAGGAGGGCGGAGGAGGAGAAAGGAGGAGGAGGGGGAGGAGGAGGAGCAAGAGGGAGGAGGAGAGGGAGGAGAAGGAGGAGGGAGGAGGAGGAGGAGGAGAGAGGAGGAGCGGGAGGAGGAGAGGAGGAGGAGGAGGAGGAGGAGGAAGAAGAGGGACGAGAGAGGGAGGAAGAGGGAGGAGGAGAGGGAGGAGGAGGAGGAGGAGGAGGAGGAGGAGGAGGAGGAGGAGGAGGAGGAGGAGGAAGAGGGAGGAGCAGGGGGGGTAGGAGGGCCGCTCTGACCCCTCTGCCCGCGTGCTCCCCACCCGCGGAAGTGGGGGCCGGCCCCCGCGGAATCGGGGGCCGGCCCGAGCGCGCTGTCCGCCACGCGGCGGACGGCATGCCGTGCGATACGCTCGCGACCAAATACGCCACGATCCACGCGAAACGCATCACGATCTGCGGGAGCATCACCGAGACCAACGTAGTAGACATCACGAACACCATCAGAACCGACGTGACGCCTCTACATCTGCAGAAGCCAAAGACTTACGATCCCAACCTACTCTACGTGGATAGTTACCAACACATCTCCAAGACACGATACGGTCATAAAGACATGAGAGAGAGTATATGCGGCTCGAAAGCGAGCGGGATACCCAATCAGACACGGGCTACAACCACACTCCAGCAACATGATGATCAGCGCCACAACCACATTCATGATGGCGTTCTTTGCAGGCCGGACCGAGGTACCCGACTGATTAGATAATGATACGAAACGATCAGCCAATCTTCACCGCCAACACTGTCCTTGCCATGGTGAGGGTTCACCATACAACTGATTGCAAAAAGCGCGCGACTGCATGTCCTGCTGATCGCACAACTGTGGATGGCAGTTGGAGCGGTGTGCCTCTCTTTGAGGGGAAAGTCTAAATGCCATGTTCTGTACGCGCCAGGGCCGCAGCTGGGGCCGTGAGCAGGGCCAGCCTTGCCCATGCAGCCACCGACGCGTGAGGCAGCCACGAGGGGCCGAGGAGGCTATGAGGTAGCTCACTTCTTCGCAATCCCAAGGAACTGCCTGCTCTAAAGGAGCGTCTCGCATTCCTAGAAGCCGGCGAACATCCCATAGGAGGCCAGGTACTCCTTGATTGCGTGGGCGTCCGAGGTTGGAATGAGAGGAGGAGGAGGAGGAGCAGGAGAAGGAGGAAGAGGAGGAGGAGGACGAGGAGGAGAAGGAGGAGGAGGAGGAGTGGGGTGCAAAACGGGGGCAGACTCAGGCGAACTCAGAAAAGGAAGTTGTGGTGGAGGTGGAGAGAAGGAGACGGAGGAGGAGGAGGAGGAGGAGGAGGAGGAGAAGAAGTAACATGGCTTCGGCTGGAACCCCACTGCCCAGACCGTCGTCCCTGAGCCGCGCGTCTACGAGGGCGACGCCAGACTCCACCTACCCCCTCCGACCACTACGGCTGCTGAAGTACCACGACGGGTCTAGCTACGCCCAGCTCTCTTGCGCGATGACCCTGCCTGGCCTGGGCATTGAGATGGGCGTCACCTACGACGGAGGCCACAAGGAGAAAGATCACGAGAAACAAAAAACGAGGAAAGCGCCGCCAACCAGACCACGGAGGCCTAGCAAAACTACGGGGGGCAACTGGAGAGCGGAGCACTACGTCTTGGCAGCCGACGACTCCGACTTGGACCGCGGGGAAGAACAGAAGAAGGGCTGGGTGCGCTTCGAAGCGGGGCAACACGCAGAGCTACGAGGACCAACGGCGGAGCTGTATACGAGGGCCGCAAGCAGAGCTACGAGGGCCGCTTGCGAAGCTACGAGGGCCACCGGCAGGGCCACCAACACAGCTTCGACGACCACCAGCTGAGCTATGAGTGCCACTACCAGATGAACCGCAGAGTTCCAAGAGCCACAAGCAGAACTGCAAGGACAACGCGCAGAACTACCAGGTCCACCAGCGGACCTACGAGGACCACCAGCAGAGCTACGAGAACCACCAGCTGAACTATCACCGGCAGAGCTGGACGGGCCACCATCAGAGCTGCGAGGGTCACGAGCAGAGCTTCGATAGCCAGGAGCCGTCCTTCTACACCACCAGCTGGGCTACGAGTGCCACAAGCAGAAGCAAGAAGGCAACGCGCAGAGCTACGAGGGCACCTGCGGAGCTACTTGAGCCACCCGCAGTGCTAAGAGAGCCACAACGCCCGCGAGACTACGAGGATCAGCAGCGGACCTACGAGGACCTCCAGCAGAGCTACGAGGACCACCAGCGGACCTACGAGGACCACTGGCAGATCTGAAGGCGACCGAAGCCACCCCCACACCCACCACATGACATGTCGTATTTTCAAAGCTTCTCTCTGTAAAGCCTGTGGCCCGACGACCGTCGTCAGCTGCACGTGCCCCAAGAAGAGCCCCTGGGCAACTTGCGAACAATGCAACCACCGAAGGCCGGGAAACAAACGCTGCTATAACTTCGAGAGACACAGGCAGAACCAGGAAGGCAACGCGCAGAGCTACGAGGGTCTCCTGCGGAGCTATTTGAACCAGCGGCAGAGCTGCAACAGCCACAAGCAGCACTGCAAGGGCAACGCGCAGAACTACGAGGAGCGCCAGCGGCGTGCGAGGACCACTAGCAGAGCTACGACGACCACCAGCTGAGCTACGAATGCCACAGGCAGAGCTTCGAAGGCAACGCGTAGAGCTAGAAAGGCCACCTGCGGAGCTATATTGGACCACCAGCAGCAGAGCTCCGAGGGCCAACAGAACAAGCCAGGCTGCCAGACCGAGCCGCACTACCAGACCAAGCTGAGATACATGGGAACGCACAGCAACGACCAAGGTGGGGCGTCCGAACTATCGGGCTCAAGCTCCAGCGGCGCCACAACGGCCTCGAGGGTTCCTTGGGCGCGTTCGACACCACTGCGGCGCGATGGGCATTCCGATCCGGATCGCTTGCCATCAGCATCCTCCTCCTCCTCCTCCTCCTCCTCCTCCTCCTCCAGTCCTTTTCCTTATACCTGTCGCACTCCGAGGCCAATGTTTAGGGCGCTCTGGGCGTTTCGCCTGAGACTTCCTCACCACTTATGACTCTGAAGCCTAAACAGTGACAACAGTTTCACAACAGTTTCACAGATGGATGGCGGGTCGCTTTCAAAATGCGGCTCTCGCCTTGCGCCACGCACATTCGTTTTAAAACTTTGCCAGAGTTTCACGGATTGAGGGCGGGTCGTTTTCAAAATGTGGCACTCGCCTTAGCGCCGCGCGCATTCGTTTTAAACATGTGCAAGAGCTTCACGGATTGAGGGCGGGTCGTTTTCAAAATGTGGCTCTCGCCTTAGCGCCGCGCACTTTCGTTTCAAACATTTTTTTTTGCGGATTGAGGGCGGTTTCTTTCCAAACTGTGGCTCTCGCCTTAACGCCGCGTACTTTCGTTTAACAGATGCAAGAGTTTCACGGATTGGGGGCGGCTCGTTTTGAACATGTGGCTCTCGCCTTAGCGCCGCGCACATGCGTTTCAAAACTTTCAAGAGATTCACGGATTGAGGGCGGTCAGATACAGACAAGGCTACGCGGTGCACCACGTTCCTGGCAAGATGCCGCGTCTACGACAAACCCTGGGGCGGCAACATCCCCTGCATGGTCCAACCGCTCAAACCATTTTACTTCATCCGAAGAAAAACGAATACCATAAACATAAACTTTTGACGCTCTGCGCGGAAGTCTTGGATCTGCGCTAGACCACCCTTTCTGGCGCGCGGAGCGCGCGAGGGGCGGCGCCGGAGGCGCCGCCAGGGGGGCCCGAGCGCGGATCCAAGAAACCCGCGCGGAGCGCCAAAAGTTTATGTATATGGCGTCTTTTCTTCCTCGACTTGCGAGCCTCGGGGGGCAAGAATGGACGCGTTCGTCATTTTATGGCTGTTTCGAGCCTCGGGGGGCAAGAGTGGACGCACGGGGCTCTCTCTGCCTCCCCCCTACCCTCCATCGGAAACCAAGTCCGCCGCTGGTTCCGGAGGTCCTATCGCGGCCGCGCGCCTCTCTCGCCGGTGCGCGGAGCGATGCCGCCTCGGGCGCAGATCGGGACCGCCTTGGCGAGGAGAAGGAGGGGGAGGAGGAGGAGGAGGAGGAGGAGGAGGAGGAGAGGAGGAGGAGGAGGAGGAGGAGGAGGAGGAGGAGGAGGAGGAGGAGGAGGAGGAGGAGAGGGAGGAGGAGGCGGAGGAGAAGGAGGGGGAGAACCCTTGGATTGAACCAGAGGGGCCGCGCTGCACCCCGCGGCGACGCGCCGACCCCAGACGGAGCCGAAGCCCGGCTCGCCACACCGAGGCTCGAGGCGCGGGGCGCCGCCGGGCGGCCCCCTCGGCAGGAGCGGGCCGGCAGGGCGCAGGGTCGCGGTGGCAGCACCGCCTGCGCGGCTCGCTCTGGGGCAGGACTTGCCCGACAAGCCCTGCACCGTCAGTCCTTCCTTCCCCACCTCGCGTCGTTG